GTGTACGACGTGTGTGTGTGTGTGTGTTGTGGTGTGTCCGTGTGTGGTGTGCGTGCGTGCGAGGCATACGTGCGTCGTGCGTGCGTGTCGTGCATGCCGTGCGTGCATGGACGTGTGTGGCGGTACCTTCAGTGGGCGATTTTGTTGGGTTTAAAAGTGAAATGTGCGATATATAGGCCTTGATAGGTTGTAACTTGCGCAGAGTATGTGTAGGTGTCTGCGCAGAGTTGTGTAGGTGTTCGCAGAAGTTGTGGTGGGTGTTGCGCAAAAAGTTGTGTGGGCTTGGTAGGTGGCTGTGTTAGGTGGTAGGGTAAGCGTGGCGTAGGTGATTGTAGGTATTGCGCAGGAGTTGCGTAAGAGGGTGCGTAGAGTTACGTAGTTGTTGCGTGGGTGATTGGATGTGCTGCTAAGTTTGTATTGTGATTGATAGGTTCCGTAGTAGTGCGTAGGTATGGCGTAGGCTTTGAGTCAGTGTAGCGTAAGTGTAGGGCGTAGGTGTAGCATAGATATAGCGTAGGTGTTACAAGTTGTGTAGATTTGGCCACGACTACGACACACACACACACACACACACACACACACACACACACACACACATGCACACACACACACATACACTAACACGCACACACTAAATAATTCATATCTACTTACAGTAAGAGGAGCTGCTGTCTGTACTTGTCCAGCCTGGTCACCTTTCCTGAACTGGGCTTGTTCTTGGGGTGAGAATACCTCTGCTGTGAGCGTACACTTATTTCTTGCACCAAGTACATGTGTGAGTAGCCTAATGTGTTCACATATGTCCGTTCACATGAATAACTCACTAACACATTATTACGTACGTAGTTTAGATCATGTTTTGTACGGGCCACTCGTTGCAATGGCGATCGTCCGTAAGATATTATGTAACCTGCGTAGATTTACTACTTAGATTAGATTTTCTTTAAAATTTTGACCAAATTTCTAGACAAGTAGTTGTAACGCCGCCTAAAACAGATAATGGTACCGAGTCACTTGTCTATAATCGTGCTTTACCCGTCACAGAAATACTCACGCCGAGGTTACTGGAAGCGATTGGTCTGCTTGATCTCGCCAAGCTAAATACGACTGTGCACATTCACGAATGCTAATAGTCAGGGCAAGGTCATGACATCATCCACTGTTGCGTCTAAACCACTGGAACTCGGCCATCAATTCCTTCTAATCGCCAAAGGTCAGTGAAAACCCATTACTAATGCACATTATTTCTTGCATGCTATATCATCTGATTTCTATATTTTGTATCTGCGCAAGTTAGCTTCACTCTACTACAACATCTGTGTAGAAGAACCACTAATTATGAATTGAGACAAATACTGACTTTCGTTCCTAATATTTTGCTAATGGATTTCTTTGACATTTTTATCTTACAGGAAATATGACTAGTGGCGATTGAGAAGATGTAAAGAACTTGAAAGCAGACGCCTCTGCTTGTAATAATATGAAGAAAATTAAACGAGATAACGAACTACGTTTATTCTCATCCGTGGTCATTTTAGAAATAAAGTGCTGAATATGGCCCTGCAATAGAATAAATTTAATGAGTGATGGAATAATTTTTGGATTTGACCTCATCGTATGCTCTCCTTTGTTTATAGCTGTTCCTTGCGCATAGGGCTGGGTTGGATTACTGAAATGTGGTAGCCGCACGCTACAGCTGCCAAATTGGATTGTTATTAAAGTACTAATTTCTAATAAATTATACCATAGATTATACCTTATAGATGATATATATGTGAGCAGCACCATTAATCTTTTGCTTCTATGTTTTAAATAACTTTTTATCTCATTGTATGCTCTGTGAATAAATATAAATTTATATGTGAATATCAGATATGCATCTAACATTACTCTGTGTCTATTTTTCGACATTTGTAATCTGTGCGAAATATGCCAGTTTTTCAGTGATTTCCTTACAACGACCTCACATTGAATCGGACCACTAATAAAATGATTTTATACAGAGACTTGGTGTGTTTTCAAGAAGGGTTAGGGCTAAAGAAATCTTTTGTTTGTATAGTAGATAAGCGTTTTTTTAAGTTAAGTAAAATCATTACGGAATAATACTCAGAAATATAATAAACAAATTACTATTTATTATTTTATTTGCCTGGCATTGCCGGGGTTATTCTCCAACCAAACATAATCGCTAATAAATCCGTTTCTCTTTCTCTTATAATGAAAAATATCTTTGGATTCTTTTTCCTTTTTTTCTGAACGTGTAAAGTTGAGCCAAACGCGAGTCTTCTCATTCTTCTTCTTCTTCTTCTTCTTCTTCTTCTTCTTCTTCTTCTTCTTCTTCTTCTTCTTCTTCTTCTGATTTTGCTTGTTCCTCTGCTTCCCGCTAAAAGCGTCTCGCAAGTCGCTACTCGGTAGATGGCGCTATCATAAATCTAGTATGTCCGCGCCCATGACGAAACTGATGAACAAGGGCAGAGACGATAGATCATAGAGCACTGATAATATACTAACAGAGTCATGGATGCGCACAATCGAAAGGGATCTCCCACTGTGTCTGCGGAAGATATTGACGATGAAGAAGATCCCGTTGAGACAATGATGAAGAAAACAGGATGTATGGAATTGCACTACGCGGTTCAGGTGGGCTCAGTGCCTAGAAAGTAGAATTGAAAATTGTTGATTGTTGTGCCGCGTTCACACCCGCACGCCGCAGCACTCCAGTGGCAGTAGGCCTGGGCACAATGATTGTAATTAAACACAATTTCTATTTACTACCAACGTCTTAATATTTATGTTACTCTCTATCCAATAATATTTCTGCATAATGCTGTTCAAGCCTCAGTTAAGGCTCCAGTGAATCAATTGCTCCTCTGCAACACTCAGTCTCACCACACGCATACGACCTGGTCACAAACTCGCAGCAATCTACCTTCTTTGAGTTTGTGCACAGTGACATGCGTGTGGTTACATTGTGGGTTGCAGATGAGCATCTGAATGGCATTTAGGGTAAAATTTTGCTATAGGGGGAAGAGAGTAGAGTACCATTCAGGGGCGTGTACAGGATTTGTACCAGGGGGGTCTAACCGTAACCCAAACTTGCGAGCACGCGAAGAGGGGGTCTGGGGGGCCCTCCCCCAAATTTTTTTTGAAATTAGACTTCCTTAGATGCATTTTCTGCGCGAGCAGGGGGGGGATTCCGGACCCCCTGGACTCCCCCCCCCCTGTACATGCCTCTGCTATTAAGCCTGGTACTGTGGTAGTAAATAAAATTCGTTTTTATTTACCGTAATTTTAATATAGAAATTTCCAAATTGCATGTGGGCATGGCCATGGTACAATGCATTGTGACTGTTACTGTTATGCACTCGAACAATGCATGCAGTTAATTATGATATTTATTCTGAATTGCTTTATTTGAAATTACCTATGTCAGTACACACGAAAATTTGGGCATAGCGTGACATATGCAACGTTCATCACAGAAAATAGTGTGACAATGTGTAGGAGGTAAGAAGGTAGAGGAAGCGAGAAATACGTCTCATCTTCTGTACCGTCTTACACTCTAATTAACCTTTTTCTGCTTCCTCTAGATTCCGTGTATTCTTCTCCTTGCCTGCTTTCTTCTCCTCCATCTTCTCAATCCTTTCAGCTTTGTCATCTAATCTTCCTGAGTTCTCTACTTTCCCCTTTTAGTTCTTCCACCTCCACTTCCCCTTTCTTTACCTTTCCCTATCTGTTACATCTACCTTATGCCCCATCAACCTCCTCCATCCTGTGCCCCTCCTCCACCTCCTTTATCATGTGCCCTTCCTCTACCTCCTCTATCTTGTGTCCCTCCTCTACTTCCTTTATCCTGTGCCCCTCCCTCCCTCTCACCCTCCCCTGTCACCCTCTCCAACTCTCACATTCACCTTGCCTACCTTGGTTCAGCTGCCCTCCACTACTCACCATCCTCTACCTTTTACCCCTCTCCCTCTAGTCTGTGATTGTGGGATAATTTTTCCAGTGCAATTGTAATGATTTAACTCTTATTTTTGGTGAAATTCAAGGTTTTTGGTCATTAGGCAGTCCTGTCTAACATTACACATACAATAATGTAATAATAGTTATCCATTTTTGTACTTCTTATAAATGTAATATTTATGTTATTGTAACAATTATGGTTATGTTAAATACACTACATAAATGTACGTGTACATTTAATTGATCACAATCTTGTAATCATAGACATATTCTTTTAATTTAACTGGATTGTAAAAATTGATAATTGAAACAGTTTATTGTTGATCATTTACAGTTGTAAAGAACAGTAATTACATACTATAATTCATATAGCTAAATTGGGATTCTCACATTTTTAAACAGGACTGTATGATAGAACATCGGGATTGGAGAAAATGCCAAGACAAGGTTGCTGAATTCAAGAACTGCATATCGAATTACCACAAACGGATGTCTGCTGATTAAATACGTTCATCTTGTCAGCATGTACGATGAATTGAGCAGATTTGTGTCAGCTCAAAGGTGATACTGGACCAGTCCAGCTTAGTGGAAGACCATGACTGTAGTTTTATTGCGATATATGCGATTGCTACATAACTACCCAATGTTGAGTAATCTGAGAATAATCGGTAGGATGTCAATACCTCTGTGGATGCACGGGTTTGATCAAGTTGCCACAGGAATCTGAACATGAGCAATTAAAACGATACATATTTTTTATTCATATTAACCGTAAAGAATGAATCGTAGGCTGGACCACGACTTAGTAAACACCACGGTGAACGTGATGTAGAAACAAAATTTGTATACCAAACTCAAATGGTAAACGTGATTGAGGTAACGGTAAACATGAGAGAACGGTATATTCAAACAGTAAACATGATTGCGTAAAAAGGAAATACACAAGGAAGTGTATTTACAGGAATTGTAAATACATCTGTAGTTTGATAAACTTTTTTGATGTAAGAACTAAACACGACACGACAGATCTCACTTAGCAGCACCATGCTGTACATGATTCATCACATTAATGTTTACGTGAAACGGAAATTCTTGTAAGTAGAGATAAATGACAAAGTTGTAAGATAATCTTTCTAACAGACTTGTGTTGATTACCTGTGTGCTCCATGTTTCACTAACACTTATTGTGATAAACTAGTACAAACTCTAAAGTTGTAGTGAAAATGCAACTTTGTCATACTTTGGGCATATAAACTGAAAAATAAACATTTTCTTACTAATTAATTACATGCATCTATGTTATAAATATTCTAGGTGTGCAGCTAATAGCTAACCATTTCTGGTTACATATCAACCCGTCTCTTAATAGCTCTAGGTCAGGTTAGTGCAAACAGTAAATAAATAACGGACACCACCCAGTGCAAACAAACCATTAACTACATCAATAACACTCGGGTGCAAACTCAATAGTGTAGAAGACGTTTAGATGCACAAAACATTAGGTTGGAAACAAATAGTCATCAATTGATGATGATGTGATGTACAAAAAAGAACAGCATAGGTGAAACCGTGAATGGACCATCAGAGCACGAAACAACAGTTACGCACATTCACTATTAGTCACTGCATCTACTGCATGGCAAGTTACAATTAGTCAGAAATGGATACACATAAGTGCACTAAAACCTCCAGGTTATCCCTTACACTTTGCACTCCAACCAACCCATTGAGAGACACAGTTCTTGCTCAAGGCAACACACACGAACACAGCACCATGTTCTGTAATGTAGTATTTGCATTGACTTATAAACTGACTTAAGAAGTTACTGAGATGATCTGCTCGGACCATAGATTAGGCAAGGTTACAACAGGGCTATTGAAACTCGTCCGCACGACTCTCGGAAAAATGGCCAAAGTAACCTCCCTTTACAGAAAATTCTGCCATAAATAATGCACAGTATCAATATTATGGTGTATTAATATGGGTACAACGTTGAGCTACTTAAAAAGTATTGTGAACTCCTGCCACATTTAACAAGGTTGTTGTCAGCTTTGTACTTGTAACGTATCGAGTATGTCATGCTGATATAAAGTGCCACACTATAGTTTTGTGAAATGATAAATACCACTGCACGGGGTTCTCCCAAGCGCTTTAATTCCTGTTGGGTTTGACATGCCTTCAATGCTAAAGCTAATTTGTGTCTTGCCTTAATTGCCTAATCGAACTGCCTTAATTTCCAGCTGTTTACTTTTGGCAGTCCCAACACTGTTATGGTGTTTTCACAGCTTGTACAAAACAAGTTGCCGCGGAGCGATCAGCGCTATCTAACGTCTACGCGGTGACCTCTGTGGTGGGGTGCGTGGGATTCTATAACCCTGTTAGTCCAAAATGTGTTCACATACTCACGCCGAAACATGGAATGCACAGGGATGTATTCATGGAACCTTCTCAAAGGAATGTTCGTTGGCGACGTTATTGAAAGTAGCACGAGGAATGCGCGCGTACATTTAAGTGTCTTCAGATTAAAGATGGAAGCTCCCAGTCATACGTAGCTTGCAACAACTATTTGTGCAAGACAGAATGGTAAGCAGCTCATCTTCGATTTAACCTACGCAGCTTGTCAGGCTGCAATAGAGAGCTGCCACCTGGTAAACCAATTAACGCAAGGCAAAACTACACAGTACCATCAACACCATGCCACTTAGGCTAGTAGCACTATGGCAGTGGCATAGGTTACATTGTAACATACTGACAGTCACAGAATGACATAGAATATTATCTGATTTAAGGAGCATAACCTTCTTATAACCAATTTAGCTTTGAAAATTTCACCTGCCTGATCATCACTGATAGCCTCATACATCCAGGCATGTATAGATTCTACTAGCAAACCGGCAGTCAAATTCTTTCTACGAGACAGTCAAACAAATCCATGTTTACCCCTCCTCTTGGGGTCAAAAGGTTATCTGACACTTACTCTTCGCATAGTCAGCAGAAAGCTAGATTTCATGGCTCCTTTCGATAATGCCATAAAAAATGCTAGGTCACCGCTGAAAACAAAAAAGTTTTTCATCGCTGCCGTCAGACCATGCTCCTCAGAAAATGCTCTAAAATCTGCCCTGGGCCTATTGTACCTTTGACTGTGACCTCCAATTTCGACAGTGATAGCTTTTCCTACCAACTGATGCTATACACCAAACATATCACGAGCCTTAGGTCGAGCCGATTTTAGAAATTTTGTGCCGCAAATTCGGCATTTCCTCCCTATACCTTAAGCTAAGGGAGTAAATCGTTCCCTTCTTTTACACCTCTTGACCTTTGACCTTTGACCCCCAGCTTCGACATCCCAACTCGTTTTCGGATTACCCCCCCACGTCCCGAATATCGTGACCGTACGTCAGGCGGTTAAGATTTGTGCCCAACTGTTGACGGACGGACGCTCGGACGGACGCACGGACGGACGCTCGGACGGACGGACGATCATGCGATTCTACAAGCTGCATCTGACTATGTCAGATGAGCTAAATACATCTGTATCAGCACTAGCTGAGGGGCAATGTACGACATGCTCTCTCAGCAAGAGAACACGCTTTAAACTGTTGTAACCACAAGCAAAAAACAACCACAATTTACATGCTTTTACAACTACATGACATGCTAATAATGAATGCACAATATAATATTTGCTTTGCTGATTATGTTATATTAATTACTATCTAACAGCATGTTCTGTTCTTCATTAAAGTTTATATACCTCTTTTTGAATCATAAACCACAGAGCTACACAATCCTCTCACTGCATGCTGGGCCAATATTGTATTCCATATTAGGCCAAATTAAAAATGTTTTTATTCCTGCACAGATTTCAAGTGGCACTGCTGGTGCTGCTGGTGCTGCTGGCACTTGTTGACCTCGTTAAACTTTTTACCTCTGCTTGGGCCTCCGCAACAGACTCGCTACCACTAGTGAAACCATCTTCCTCAATGTTGTAATCTTCCTTCGTCAGAGCCTCTTCCTCGCAGCGAGTGGATTCCACAATTTCTCCAGTCTCATCAGCACTAACGACACTGATGTGTTGTGGCTCTTCCTGACTCTTGGCCTTGATGTAGTCTTCAGAGATGCCAGCACTACGTAGTGCATCCTCGAACCTTTTCTCGATGGCTTTCTTTGCATTGAGCTAGAATAATGCCGAAAGAACGAGAGGTAACTATTTCGAATTTATAACAATTAATGAGTAGAGGGGACAACTTTATCTTTGGGTATTTACACTTATTTATAAGTAATCTAAAACACACATCTGGTGTGCAGTTTGTACTAGCCCTTCTACTACTACATTCAGCGTACAGATGCCTTAATCTTTCATGGGGTATTTATACCATCACGTTTCTACTAATGACAGAATTTAGTTGGCATCATTTTAACACAGTTTCACAAGGCTCTTTCCTCAGATTATCTTTATTAATCTTATTTAGTGCCACTGAAGGAGTTACTTAGAAAGCCCCCACAAACCTGGGCCTGCTGATCCATGAGTAGGGGACGGCTTTCTACCCTTTCCAACATCTCTTGCAAGCTCTTCTTGTACTCGGCTAACTGTGTAGCTTCCGATTCCCTACAAAATCAACCCAGTGATCAAAGCAAAACAAACTTAAAATGGCCACAGCCACAATTTCATGTTAGGCAAAAAGCAAACTTGAAACTCAGCTATGTGCGTCAAATTGGCTGATTAAAAGTAAAAGAAATTCACATCTGGTCTATTTTGTTATTGTGCAACTACATTTAATCACGTGTGTCAGACAGCTAATGATCATGATTCAATTACCATTACTCCACAACACACGACAGAAGCTATACACATTGAAGCAGATATTTGCTACACGAAAATGGCATGGTGAATTATTTTGAGTTCTTATAAAACCAAGAGAAAACTCATTTTGACATTACTTATTTTTCTTGACTTTCTCAGTAAACAGAGTCTCCAAGTCACCACTGCTCTCTGCCTCGAGCTTCTCATACAAATGCCTCCTGAGGTGTTCGTGTTTTTTGCGTTGTCGAGATTGCCTCCCTTTCATACTTTCTTCATTTTTCTTTTCTTCTTCTTTTTGCAACCTGTGTGTCCAAATAAATTATGTGAATAATCGTTTCATCGCCTGTATATTACCGTCGTATAAACAACAATATGAAAAAGAGGCATATTGCACTTGAATATTAATGTCATGAATAACACATGTACATGCACCAGCAAAATTAATTGTTGTAGCATGCTCTTATTGTTCTAGCATTAATAATTCGCTACACGTGATGAATTGCTACCTGTCAAAACGATAGTATTATACATAAATGCTACTGTACCTGGCGAGTGCCTGCTGCCGGCTAGCAGCTGATGTAATGCGGGTGGGAATGCAACCAACTGAAGCGGACCGATATTTCAAAGAACTAGGAGGTCGTTTCTCTCTACTTCCAGTATAAGGCCACCTAGACTCTTTCAATTTCTTTTCGTCATTCACAATGTCGTTAGCAATCACATCAACGTTTGACTTTATATTTGCCGTTCGCAGATTGAAAGGGTTGCACTGTGTATACTGGGGCGAACCTAACAAGCTATTCTGCCTCTGCAACTGGTTATGTATTGCTTGGAAGTCTGGCACATCATGAACTCCGGGTGTAAAGGAGGGTGTCACACCATCAAAAGCACCAGACTTTCTGCTTTTTGTTTCAGTACGCTCTCTCATCCGTCTCTGGTGTGCTTCCATACGTGGTGGCAACTTCGACGATGTAAGCATTTCTAGTGAGCGCATGTGAATTTTTATTTTCCTGTAGAATTCTTGCTCTTCTAGTTTTCTATGGACTTCCCTGCTATAAACAGCCTTTGGTGGATTTGTAGCTTTAAAGGAAGGGCTGACAGATCTTGATTCCTTTCTACTTCTAGCATTCACTGCCAATTGAGACTGAACCCGCCTTTTCTTTTCCTCTTCTCGCCATACAAAGGAAAATGGTCTCTGATCTAACAGCAGTGTTCGTTTGTTGTTTTCACGCATATCCTTCCGACGTACCTCCTCCTCAGCCATGATTACATTGTAGAGAGGAAGATACACATGTGCTGGTGGTGGCTTTGCTCGGAAAACTTTCCGACATTCAGCTTCTTCAGCCATCTGTTTCTCTAGCTTTTGTTTCTCTATTTGAAGCTGTGCTTTTGATTTAGTCTTTGGCTTCTGCTCTGCTCTAATAGTCATTTTGAAAGGTTGTGGCACTGTGATGCCATGGTGCCACCCATTATTACCTATTTTCGTAGGAGATGGGGACCTACACATACTTGAACTTCTTAATGGCAACTCTTTTGAGGCATCAATGCCCACAGAATAATCATCCCACACTTTCGTCAGTTCACTCTCCTCCCATGCATATTTACTTTCATACGGTCTTGTGTCATTATTGTTCCACGTATTGGTGTGAAGAGTAGAATCTGTCGGTTTATTTTGAAGTGTATCACTTCTTTCATCTGAAGTCAAGTTTCTCCAATCCATGGACATATATCCTGTCGCACGACTTCTTCCAGATGTTTTTGGATGAACAGGTATTTTTAATAGCGACTCTATATTGTCTTGATGTTTTTTCAAATTACTTTTGCTCAGTCGTGACACATCATTTGAAAGAAATGACTCATACTTGTGTGATGGTATTACATTATTAGTATTTATATTATCATGTACATCATTAAACTTCATGTCAAATTCATGTTCTACATTTGAATTGTCGGGTTGATGCTTTCTATTATACTGATTTTCTAGTTTTTTGAGAGCCTTTTTGTGTTCACGCTTAACCTTGTCAATAGATTCGCACAGTCTTGATACGTCTGCGACATTGACAGATGACGGGTCCATGTTTTTTAGCTTCTCAAAAGATTTCAGCCCCAGACAGCTAGCGCCGTCTGAACTGTGCTCACAATAGTAGTCCGACTTCGTATTTGCATTTTCTGACTCGGTGCTGGCAGGCCTATGTTCTTGTTCCGCATACATAACATTATAATCACGATAGCCCTCCTGCTTGTTACTAGTTGTATTGCGACCACGAATACGATTATTTGAAACAAAGCTGTTGCAATCTTTTCCAGTCCCGAAAACAGACGATACATGCGACTTCGTAGACGTCTTCTTAGAGTATTTCCTTGTTTTATTGCTTCCGTTTGGAATACCGTAACCTACCACAATTTCACTTACTAAATTCTGGCATGCTGGCGATGCAGGTTTTAGACACGAGTTAATAAAAACCGATGTTTTATGATCTAACCCTGTTGCCATCGCAAATATTTTGGTTGGATACGCCGGTACAGGACCGCACTATATCATCCTCTGTGCAGCAGTTTGTTATAAATATATTAAATTGTGTGTCGATTATGACGAAATGAAATTATTTAAAGGGCTACTACAACATATGGAAACCCCATATGATAAGGCATTCGTTAAAAATGTTGTATAATTTTTTTAAGCAGAAACATCGACGCTAATGCAAAAACTACCACTCTAGACTGAGTCTTTGTCCCTGCTCTTTATATAACATTGCGAAGTGTAGCGAGAAAAAGAACCAGTCTAAACCCGTGGAGGATAAGCTTTGGATGATGGATCAAACTCCACGACAGATGGCGCTCTCGCTCATGGGCTCAATCATGGTATCTTGAGTGAGCGAAGGGGAACTGCATGCAGTTTGGCTTTGGATAAGCATAAATCGGGTGTTGCTATCCCACGGGCGTGGAGGGAGGTCACGTGATAACGTTGACGATGACGTTCAAAACGTTAACCCTAAAGGTAACCCTCACTCCAACACCGCCAACACTAACACGCACACTAAATATGTATGTGTCGCCGCGCTATATATATAATATAGGCATTGTGATTGTGATCCACAAAAATTAAATGGTTTATTTCGCGGTCGGTGAATTCCCGAATCAGTGACGAACAGCGTGTTGCTATTTTCCCGTGTTGTTATTTTCGCGATCGGGGACGCGTTTAACTAAAATCGCGAAAATTAAACCACCGTGAAATATACAGCGTATACAGTAACTAAAAGCGAAATGATAAATTAAATAATAATGATAAACTCATCCTGTTTTGGCATGAATAAGAGGGACACAGAATCTTATCGCAGCTTCGCGAAAAAGACGACGGCAGCGACGTCTCGCTCTCCGTGCTGGACACTCCAACGTATGTGCAGCAGTCGCGGCTGCGCACGGAGATCATGCAGAGGCTGCGAGCCAGCGCGTCATCCGGCGACAGCTCGGCGTCGAGCGCGGCAATGCGACGCGATAGGACAGCGTCTTGGAGTCGCCGGCGACTGGTCACCTCGACGACACGAGCCCGGTGCACCGCGTAAGCTGTGCTAAGATCTGCACAGATAAGATAAGCAGGAGCTGGTCATCGCGATTGTCAGCAAACTCGGCCGCTTCCGTCTCCGCGATGACGTTGGCTGCGACACGACGCACGTCGTCTGCGGTCGCGAGCGCCGCACGCTGAACGCGCTCGTGGCGATCGCGCGCGGATGCTGGGTCGTCTCCGTCGCGTGGGTGCTCGAGTCGCTCGAGTCCGGCGCATGGCTCGCCGAGACACCCTACAAGTGCGTCGCGTGGTTCCCGGCCGCCCGGCTTGCGTGCGCCGAGTGGGAAGCGGCCGCCGGTGGCGACTCCTACCGGCAGGCGGTGTTTGCGCAGTGTAGCCGCGTACACATTGGCAACACGGACGCTCCAGAAGAGAAGATGGTCACCCTGCTACAGCAGTGCAGGGCGGAGGTGACCTCGTGCTATCGCAAGGCCGACGTCTGTGTTAGCGGGCGGACGAGCAATGTTATGCAATTTTAATAAATTTTTATTGAAACCAGAATAATTAATATTACAATCTTTTTCATTCACAAATGCCCAGCCCACACACTGACATTCAGGAAAGTGTATCATTTAGCCCCATGCCATTATTCTGCCAACCTGGAGCCAGTTGACCCAAATGTCGGGCCAAGGTGCAAAGCCGGGGGTCAGGCCGATATTGGCAATGTCGGGCTAATATTATCAACCAATATCGGGCCAATATTATTGGTGCCAAGATTAACCGATATTGGGCCAATATTGGCCTGGTGCATTATATATGCTATATATTGCTATATAATATATGCTATATATTGCTATATAATATATGATATATGTATGCCTATATAATGTATGCAAGACATATGCTATATTTACCTTAGACCGAATAATTCTGTCCCTGCATGATAACGTTTTATCTATCATCTAATCTTTCATCTATCGATTCATATATATATATATATATATATATATATATATAGTATAGCCTAGTAAGTAGTACTACTAGTACTACCGGTACCGTAGTAGTAGTATATTGACGTTATTCACACAGCCTGGTTGGCAATATAATAATTAATATGCTATATTAATTATTAAATATAGTAATTAGTATTATATGTAGGCCTATGCATGCTATATGCTATACCTATATGCTATATTTTGCCTATATGCCTTATAAAACTATATATATATATATATATATATATAAATATCTTTTTTTTTTTCAAAATGTTTTTTTTTTTCCCCCCCATCACTTTTTTTTTTCCAAAATTTTTTCCGCCAAAAATGGGTTTTTCCCCAATTCCCATTCTTTGGTTTGTTTTCATACGAATGGTAACATAAGAATTATTATTGGTAGAATAGCTCCGACTAGCTAGCACGTGACTCGTGACGTCACGTAAAAATTATTTTTTCGTGTATTTCTCGTTCCCTTAGCTCCATACATGTATTATATACATACCATATTTATATACATCTTAAGTATGGATCAAAGTTTTTTTTCATGCTAATTTGAATAATAGAATAAGTCGCGTTTTCTTATTATTCATTTGAAATGTTGTGGGCACAGACGGCAGATTCAGCTTTCAGAGTGGTTGAAGATGGGCTCTGGCGTCACTGTCATGTTAAGCGCGGATAGCAATGCTCTATCCAGATTATATTATACAATCAGTTTGAGGTGGAGCATAGAGGTTGTATAATATACTAGAGGCGACACGCACATCGCGCTCGCACACTAAGCGCTGTGATCGCATGAGCATGAGTCCAGCCCATTCCTGATAAGGGAAAAACTCGCGAAAGTTACCCGGATGAACCGGTAAACATTAGCCTGATAATGATTTGGATGATAATGTGCATTTCATGAAACAATAGCCCTCATAATGGAAAGATAATTACTACTATTATGTTATTTAAGACTTGATGTGCTCCTGATTACATTCTAAATCTTCCCATACAGGCTCATTGTTATTATGTTGTTGGTATACTGGTAGCTAGTACAAGTAAGCTAAATAGTATACTATATCGCTGTGTGTTGACAAATTCGGAGGTAATTTGCAACATTTTATGAAGTATTGGTTTTCAAAAAAAAGTAAGCAATAGAATAAAAGAATTCAATTCACTCTTCATTTATAGTGATGGAATTTAAAAATGCTATGACGCAATTAAGCGAAAATAATGATTTGAAGTTGGATGCGCTACTTTAGAAGACTGTGGGCAGTTTAAAGTGACAACTCGTATACGGTACTTTTGTAGAGCAGCGCAGCCCCCCCCCCCCCCGGCATGCATCCAAACTATCGATTCGCCAGGGTGGAAAGCATAAACACTACAACACGGTAATAACTTATTAGTCCTCCGCATCGGTGATTCATACGCGAAGCTAGCGACTTCGGCCTGATTCTTCAACCGTGCAGTCCAGCTTCTCCGAGCTCCGGCTTCCTACACCTATCCCCTTCTATACGCCTTGCTTTCCACCTTCCGCCATCACCTTGCCGAGCTTCGCGAACCTACGTTTACGGTACGACTTGTATTCATTTTACGTGTCACGCGATGCGACGGTTACAACGTGTAGACATCTGTTTAGTATCGTGAAGTGCTGTTTTAACTGAGCAGTGCTAGTCATGTGTACGTATATTCTGTGTGTAATAGAATTGCAGCGGTGCTTTATAATTCTCTGTTCGTGTTATACATCGACGGTGACCAGAGGCTGCCATCTAGAGGGACACTCTCTCACATGGCTAAAAAGACCGAGAACCTGGGGAGGCGGACGCACAGACCGTCCTCACACGTTCCTTATTTCCCCAGCAGTGATTGTTGTAGCCCGTAGCTAAAAAGGGGTTGTTCCAAAGGGAGTTTGGTGGGAGTTTTGGGGTCCTTTTCGGTGGGGGTCCTTTCTACGCCCACAAAATACCGACCATCCCGTCCACAAAACGGCACACGACGTAGCACTCACATCACACACACCACCAGCATGGACACACAGGTGGGCATGCACGCGCACGCGCACACACACACACACACACTAAGCAACACACACTTGCCACACGCACACCAACACGCACAACGCACACCACAGCAAAACACACCACAGATCATCCTGTACAAACGACATAAATGAATTCTAGTCAATAATTATTGTATACTATCAATCTTCTCATGAGATATTAATTAATCCTCAGATTATTTTGTATAACATGTGTTGGGTAATCACAAGGATGGGGGAATGTAGCCTATAGGCTATTTTAGATCGGCAATAGAGTACCGAAGTGATGACGTCACGGTGGCATGGACAACGAGGGCCTGCTGGTTCTACACAATCATATTGCTCTGGTAAAATTAACTCGTGTCGTGTTTTGTACCCGATGTAAGCCATCATTCTGAGAGTCATTATTGCATTTTTATAGATTTCCAAAGGATGGAAGTGAAAAGCAACGAAAAAAGGAAAAAAATTAACAAATTTTTTTTAATTCATTAAATATTGTAAGATCGACTTGCTACCGATGCTTTACCGGCTGTCTTGCGCGCACACACTCGTTGTTTCACGTACGCAACAACATTTTCACTGCAGTTAACGTTATGGAGGACAGTGGCTTGGTGTAGAACCAGCCCGTGCGTTGCTTGCCACCGTGAACGTCACACTTCGGTCTCAGCCCGGTTCGATAAACTGCCGCAGCCTGGCAGTTTATCGAACGCGCTATAGACTAGAGCTAGCATTATAGCGTACGTGTATTTTACTTGTGAATTGTTCATGATTTTTGATTGTGAATGCAGGCTTAAAAGATTGCGTGCTGTAATTAATTTGCTAAATTTGGTTAATTCATATACGATGTTCTTCGTCATGCATTTCGTAATGACAATTTCATCGAGGGTAGAGAGACTAGTCTCACCTTATGCACTGGATATGAGTAACATGAATTTGGATGAGCAGTTGTGTAGCTAATGCCTTTCTACAGTGTTAGCCCGTCCCGTAACCCTAACAGTAGGCTGGCATATCCTAAATTGTTAATTAATATTCGACGTTTCTCATCATATAATTTGCCGTGTCAGATTAATGACAGGATTCAGAGGTCTGATGCGAGCTGTGCGTGGTGCGTGCGTGTGTGGCATGCGTGAGTAATACTGTATTCTTACGTGCTTAGTTGTGCATGCTTGCGTATACCTGTTTACGTGTCGTGCGTGGTCTGCGTAACGTATACCTGCTTAACTGCGTCCGCGGCATGCGCTACGTGCGTGAGTATACGCTGCTTACGTGGCGTGTGTGCGTGCGTGAGTAATACCTGCTACGGTGGCGTGCGTGCATGTGTGAGATATACCTGCTTACGTGGCGCGCGCGTGCGTGCATGCGTGAGTATAGCCTGCTTAGCGTGCGTGCGTGGCATGCTGTCGTGCGTGTGTTGCATGTGTGAGTATCTGCTTTCAACATACGTGTGTGAGATTACCTGCTTTACATGCGCGTGGAAGTATACGCTGATTACCTGCTGTGTGAGTATGTATAACCTGCTTACGTGCGTGTGTGCATGCTCTGAGTATAACCTGCTTAGGCGTGTGTGAGTATACCTGCTACGTGCGTGTGGAGTAATACCTGCTACGTGCGTGTGTGAGCTATACTGCTACGTGCGTGTGTGAAGTATAGCCTGCTTACGTGGGTGTGTGACGGTATACCTGCTTACGTGCGTGTTGAGTATACCTGGTTACTGCGTGCCAAATGCGTGCCGTATTACACTGCTTACGTGCGTGTGTGAGTATACTGCTTACGTGGCATGCGTGGCGTGGCATCGTGATATACGCTGCTGTACGTGGCGTGCAATGCGTGAGTATACCTGCTTTACGTGCGTGCATGAGTGCGTATACCTGCTTTACGTGCGTGCGTGCATGGCGAGTAATACCTGCTTACGGTGCGTGCCATGCGTGAGTATACCTGCTTACTGCGTGCATGCGGTGCGTATACCTGCTTACGTGCGGATGAGTGAGTATACCTGGTGTGGCGGTGGCACCGGTCACCGACTCACGGTTCCCAGCTAGTAATTGTGAGGTAAGCTACTGGAAACGCACAGCAGGGTATGGGTAATGTTTTTTTGTGTTCATACGTGTCGACTGGGTGCGCCATCCGTTTGCGCGAGACACAAACGCTACACCTGCTTACCTGCAGTGTGTCCGTGCGTGATGCGTAAAGTTTTATACTGCTTACGGTGCGTGCGTGAGTAACCTGCTTACGTGTGTGTGTGAGTATACCTGCTTACGTGCGTGGCGTGGCGTGAGTGCATGCGGTGAGTATACCTGCTTACGGGCGTGCGTGCGAGTCGAGCGTGCGAGCGTGTTGTATGTTGCTCAATACTATTGCAGAAACTAGAGGCAGCTACGGAGTGCATACCTCCGCCAAGACGATACCATACGCCATACGCCATACACTCACGAATAAACACGAATAGTCACGACAACAAAACTATTTATTTATTTACATG